CATTCCATACTGTGTTATTTTGTTGAGTGAAGCTTTTTTTGGAAACCTACGGACAAAAAAGTTTTGATTTGATACACGTGACTACATAACGATCTTTCTTCTTGGAGCTTTTCTACAGGCGAAAAAAACTACAGCTAATCCACAGCACCTTTTAGTCACTTTCAGTGACGCGTTCGGAACAAAAATTTAAAAAAAAACAATGAGCAACATTAATTTAAGTCGCTTTACTTCAAATGTTTTGATGTGGATCACTATTTTGTTCGCCTGTTTTGATTTCATCTTAGCAGCAGATCTCAATTCTCGGAAGCTTGAGAACTTAGTTGAAATTTCAATTGCAGGTGGAACAACACTTGCAAAATGGAACATCATTCGACATCACATGACTTTTTTCTGACAAGTGATTTTTTTATCGAAGACTCATAATTACCACATGCGATACAACACAAAAACACCAATACAAGCTAGCGGACAGAAAATACGACGAGAGCCATTAAATCGAAAAACAAATGTCAAAAAACTAGATCTGCCAACAACCTCACTTCAATTTCAGTTGAATTAGGTTCATTGTATAACAAAAACATGGCAAAAAAATATAACATTGCTTGAATGGCATCAAAAAATAATAAACGAAGCGGTAAGAAACCCACAACTCTAAAAAAGGCCTGTTAAGCCGAAATTAAATGTTAACATAAAAATAAGAAAATCGAAAAAAAAAATAAAGTCCCTCTCACAGGACATACAGAACATAGCCAACAGACAGTTGGAAAAGAGTCGATGAACGCAAGTAAACAGAAAACAAAATACGGACTAACTTGTTTGAAAAAATCTCATTTTTTGAATTTCAAAAAAAAACAAATAGATGACCTTAAAGCTCTTCGAATTTCTAGAACACTTTATAATTGACACTGTTTTGATAAAATTACATTAAATTTGTTACAAGTAACATTAAACTATTTGATAAACTCAAACCAATTTGAGAAAACTGGATCAATAGATAAGATTTTATTTCGCTGGAAAATTCGATAATTAAATTCGACTTTCAAAACTAGAAGTAGATCTCATTTTTTGTGACCTTTTCACTTTCGCTGTTCGATGAGGGAGCTGAACTTGAAAAGAAATCAAAAATGAAACCACGAAAAAGTTTCTACGAAGAATGTAATCTGTAGTAGAAGAATATAATCTGATTTCTACGAAGAATTTAATCCGTTCATAAAATCGAACGGATGTAGTAGAATTGAAAGGTAATACAGAAAAATATACGAATGTAGTAGCACCGAACGCATTTGTGCTGCTGTTGAGGGAACCAATTCGGATGACAGACCAATCTGCTACCTGCATTGATCAGTGTGCCATCAAAAATGTTAACTTGTCTAAAACAGATAAGTTTAAAACATCAAACATTCAGTGACCATTATGTAATCGCAATTTAGTTCAGCTTGATTGCCATTACAAGTTTCCAGAGGTATATCGTGAGATATCATTTTTGAAAAAAAAATAAGCAAAAAGAAAATAGGTTTTTTACTGGAACCACACATTTAGTAAATTTGTGCAGCAAGGTTAAGCAAAAACTGCATTCAAAATCTTTGAAAAAAAGTGTACTGAAGCTATTGACCGTTATGCACCTATGAAGACGAAGCCAAAATTTTGATGTTTCCTGTTTTGTTCACAAATCGTTAAAAAAATCTCAGATCGAAGAGAAATGACTTCCATAAAGAATGGATTAATGACAAGGCGAATGAAGAGAGTTTGAAAAAGTTTTAAAATATGCGTGTGTCAGAAAAAAAATAAAGCTGCTAAAAAAGTATACTATTCAAAAAAGTATAATTTAATTTTTGAGATCGAAGCAGACATACAAATTACTCAGAGACGTAAGAGGTGAATCAATTAAACGATGTAATTTCCCAAGGTTAAGCTCTTTTCAGCACAGCGATGAGCCATCAAACACTGAAAAACTAGAGCGGTTCAATGAATTCATCATCATTTTTCTATGTCAATCTCACTGCAAATAAAAATGTAATAAAATTTCGTGGTTTGTTACAGATAACTGTTTGACATCGAAACTTAACACTCATAGTCCAAAAAAACCGATCGAAAATAACTCATTCCTCCTTCTAAGTGAGGTCATTTCGTCGGAGGTGAGCAACTGTATTGAAAACTTATCAGAAAAATTATCATCCGGGGATGACTGCATATGCAACTAATCATTGAAGTTGTATCATTGGTGATAACAACTGAGCTTAGAAAATTTACCTAAGCTCAGATGTTTCATGCATTTTCGTTTCATGAAGGCAATTTTCATGCTGAATTAGCAAAAGCCAAAGTGATACTATAGCATTAAAAAGGATCGAACCTGCATTGAAATTAAAAACGCCTGCGAACAATTATTACTAATTAGAATTAGCTCCTAAATGACAAATTTGTTCTTTTCTATGATTGACAGTTTGGTTTTCGCGCAAAGCATAGTACAAATGATGCTCTAGCCTAACTAACTACGAGGACTGGTAATGAAAAATCAAAAGAAGGTAATTTTTTTATTTTTTTCCGTGATGCTAGGAAAGCATTTGTCACACTTGATCATAAAATTTTACTCAAGAAACTCGAGACATGGGATACCGAGAAAAACATTAGTGTAATTTAAGAGTTGTTTGGGAAGTAGGAAGCAGAAGGTGGAAATTGGCAATGTCTGTTCAAAGCTTTGTAGAGCCCACAGGGGGAATTTTTTCTAGGGGGAATTTTTTCTGAATATTTTGAAGTTTTTGGCTACCAAAATGAAGCTAAAAAAACTCCAAAAACAAGTTTTACTTGTTTAAAATTAAATTTTAAGGTCTTAAATTAGACATAAATCAGCTATTGTCGGCCTGCCTGCTTGCTAAATCGCTCGAATTAAAACGAAAAATCAAAATTTTAAACTTGTTCTCGATATTGGGACAAATTTTCGAAAACTTTTTAAAAACACGACTGAAAGGGCTTATATAGGATAAATCACTCGACCCATTCCGATGATTATTTGTGGTACTTGATTTTGTGGTACTAAAACTTTTTTCCTTCAAAGTAATGTAGTTTTTTTCTGCGTGGTGTGATAAAAGGATCTGACGTATAACTCTACCTCAGGCATATTCGACAGTCATAGTTATATAGACAAACAGAACAACATTTTTCACAGAAAAATGAAAAAAAATTACAAAATCTTATATTAGAAAAAAATCATAGGTTTTTTTTTGCTAAAAATTTGAAGTTTTTGATTCCAAAAGGGGCATAAATAAACTCATTCACAAACTTTACTAGAGTAAAAACAAAATGAAGCATAAACAAGCTATTGTAAACGGCCTAAGCTAAGCATAAAAAAGCGTGCTCATTAATTGGTTCGCTTTCATCTTAATTTACATTAATCATATGCCGAATATCTGTAAACATACTGGAGTGTTTCTATTTGCCGATGATAGCAAAATAAGTGGATTAGGTTGCATTGTAACCTTTACAAAATTAGATTAAATAGGTTCAAGTAATGGTTGAAATGCAAATTAACTTGTATGAAATCTTGACAAGGATGAAATCGAAAATTTTGAACCAGTTTAAAACGAAAAATCTTCCTCTTGAAATTAACATTCTGTAAAAGTTCGGAAATTCTAAAAAAAAAATTGAATTCAAACTCAAATTGAATTTGCTTGCAAAAAATTTGCTCGACAGTATGCTTGTTATTGTGTACCTAGAGATATGCTTTTATAAATTGAATGTTAAACCCATTATCTAACACAGGACTCTCATTTTCGGTTGCTGTAATTACACTTCACTCAAAGTGACAATTTTACAGAACAAGCCATTAAAATTCATACACCTTTGCAAACGGCGTGACGCTTCGGATGACATTTTCATTTCGAACGAAATTTTGACAGTTTTCGAATTACATATCTACGAACTGCTAAAGTTTTTTCTCAGATCAATCAGTAAGTTAAATTCGGAGGCTTTTATCTATATGAGCTTTTAGTTTTCAAAAACCGCAAACCCGTTACTAGACGAATTACTAAAAGTTTATTGAAAATCTCACCATTTCGAACTAAAGTGGAAACAGTATCCATTCGGTACAGAGGAAATAAGCTCTTCAATAACTGAATTCAAATGGTTTGTTGCCCTTCAATGTTATAGAAATATCAGAAATTGCTACTTTCCGATTTGTGCTCTTTTTTCGTGATATATATTTTTCTATATAATAACAAATTAGCTTATTTCAATTATTCATAACTGATTATAGCGTAGAGGTAACATCCTAGACTCTGAACCCGGGAGCACCGATTCGATTCCCGGTCCTAACGTAACCAGATAATTCGAAAGATAAATAATGAATACTAAGGTAAGGGTTCAAACTAAGGGGTACCCGATGAAGGGTTTAGGGTCAAGCGGAAAAAAGAGAGAGCTTGGATATGGAAAAAAGCAAGAAGCGTGACTCTCGTCCGATAGAGGTGCTTTGATCTCTTTAAAGGCCATTTTTCTCTTTTTTCTTCGAGTAGGCAAGTTTTACTTATCTAATTATTTTTATTAATCAGCTGAAAACCATAACTATGGTAAAACTTCTAGTAAATTTCAAGGGTGGACATAGGGCAGATCAGCTGATCTCGTTAGCTACCCTTTCCAAGGGTTTCCTACATTCAGTGTTTTGTTTTGTTACGAAATTAATACTCTTGGTTAAATTAACTTTAAATTGAGTTAACTGGATCATTTTTTATTTTGGGAAAATTTAAAAACCAAATCCACTTTCGAAAGTAAATGTTAGTCTAGTGTTTTCAAATCGTTTGCACATTCGTTATTGGCAAGCGTAATATGTTTGTCTTTCCGCCAATTTAAAAACCAATCGTCAAAAATCAAACTCAATTGTGAACAAACTGTAATATTTTTCCTGAAAATAACCATCAAACTCAACACGACTTAAATAAATGCCTTAATTTTGTTATTGAACACTTAAACAGGCCTTTGAAAAGCATGTTCGATTCTTCGGAGCAAAAACAGCATGGTCAAACTTCATATTATGCTATGAAAATGGCCCCATTTAATACAACATATAATTTAGAGTTAAAGCTGTTCAAAATGTAGTTAACAAGTTCATCCCCAACCCAGCCAATTGACTACAGAAGTCATGATCAGCTTTTCTTTGCATTGAGTTACTTCTCAGGAGGTATGATAGTGACTGGAATATGGGCATGGTGTAGCACATAGTCGCTGATGCTGCCCATGAACGTTCTTCGTATGGCCCCCATGCCTCTGTTGCCCATGATGATGTAGTCCACTTTTTGATTCTTACAGGACTCAACTATCGCTTCACCTGAATCAAGCACCTTATGATAATACTACTTCTGCTCGAATAAATAGGCCCAAGAAACTCAACACTGTGGTAAAAATTTATGCGGTAAAATTTCTCATTAGCTGTTATCTCCGTGCCTCTAAAATGATCCAAAGTTATGCTCTACGACACGATGCCAAACGCCTCGCTTTCTGGCGAGTTCATACAAAAAAAGTACACGAATGATACGGAACGCAAAAAAAATTAAGAAATGAAGTTGATATATTTCTCAAATTGTCATGAAACAAACAAAAGCTCCTTGTCTAAATCAAAGTTATGTGTTCACATAGATTTTCCTTCTCTCAACTATAAAGAGAAAACTTTTTCTCAACATCAATATTTACACAACAGAACTTGATAATGAGACCAAAAAAAATTCTGACCTGCATGATGGTAGGCACTCGAGTAGAGAAACTCTCCTGTCACTCCCGCCTCACTCAACACATTGACATACTTGATCTTCAACTCCTTCACTTCCTTCTCCTTTTCCTTCAGCATAGTCTCCACCGCCCCCATAGGCAGAGGCCCCGCCCACGCATATCCAGTGGACGGAATTATGGTGGATGTATCGACACTGTGGAACAATATCACGTAATCCTTAGGCATCTTGCCATACTTGAAGTACCACTGGACTGCCCGCATGGCATGGTCACTTTGGTCAACTGGTAGCAACACTTTTCTGCCGGTTTCTTCAGCCATGTTTTGAAGATGCAATTGGAATGTGAAACTTAACTAAACGCGTCAACAAATCCCAGTCCGATGAAAGAGAGATCGAGAAAGTTAGATCAAAGTAATCTGCAAATACATTTATTTATATTGTTACATGCATAGGTATAGACAAACAATCACGGGGTTGAAAGACATGCAACATTTAATCAAGTTGATCAATGCTCGGGTTGAACAGGAAACACGTGTTTAAAAGGAATGACAAGAAATTATCAAACAAGCTGTTCAAATTTATATTCCAGAAGCTGCACGCCCTATTCACATGAATCTATTTAGAAAAGAACCAACGAAATCGAGCTGAATACATCTTAACAAAGGCTAGGACTACAAACATGTCATTTTTATATATAAATTCATGCGCCATTTATCATAAAGGACAGTTCAATATCATCAATGATGAAAACATGCTAGTTACTGTCGGTACCAAATTTGTCTCAGATTTGACAGGATCTAGCCCATGGTTATTTTTGGGGCAGTTCTTTTCAATTACCCACCCTCCCCTTGTTGCAATAGTGGGGAAGTTCGTTAATAGGTACAAAACTCGGGTCTTAAGCGTTAAACGGCCCAAAATTAGGAAAATAGTCAGAAATTTTATTTCAAATTGAAAACACGTAATCAACATACAATTACTTCAGTTATTACATATTATACGAGCCAATCAGGATTAATCTCAGTATCAATCGAAATGGCTGACCTAGTTGCTCGAATTTGATTGGCTAATATTAGCCAATCAGGATCAGTTTTAGTTTTCATTTTGCTTCAATTTTGATTTTTGGGCCGTTTAACGCATAAGACCCCAAAACTCACATATTAAGTAGGAACTATAGGGGTACCCTTTGGGTCGACTAAAATTGGCATAAGAAAAGACACGATTCCAAAATTCAGTTAGCCTGAACTAACTTTGTTTTCACAAACGGATTTCCTATGAAAGCCTGGCACTAAAATTGGCCATCAAAACTGATCACTAAATTATATTTCTGTTAATGAATTTGATAGACACTTAACTTGTCTTTCTTTCCATGGAAAAGACAAAAAATTCTCGTTGTGTTGTGCCCAAGTTATCGCTTTTTTGAAGGATACTTCTACTCGAAGTTAAACTCGAACTTTTCCTGCTCTAACAAATATTGACTTTACGAAAAATCGATCAAATATTATCCTTTTCAGAAGTGCCCAATTATGACAAATTTAAAAATCTTTCGTTCTGAAAAGCTCTTTCTTCCCGAGAAGCTTTTATCATTGACAGGACAACTAAATACAATATATTTTTGCCCTATTGAACATTGCATATTCAAGCGCTATTTTGCAGTTTTATGAGAATTTGTTCGGTGTTTAAGACAAAACTTACAAACAAAGCTGATCCAGTGATCATAAAAGGATGGCATCAATCAAAATTACGGTAAAAAATTGTAATCAAATTTCGCAAGAAACGCAAAACCCAATTACTTTTTTTCACCTTCATGTCACGCAATCGAGACGCGTAAAAACTAGCAGACACGGATTTTTTCCACAGAGACAAAGCTGTACAGAGACAAAGACTGTTACTAGTATAGATGATTTAAAAACATGAATTTCTATGGGCAAGATTAAATTTGAGGTTAAGCCTGGAATCTATCATTCGATTGTTGTTCATCCATCAAACGTTTCCTTATCTGCGCCACATAATCTTAGATTCTTTTCTAATTGAGTTATACAGCAAAAACTTGGAAAAGAAACGTTAATTCTTCCATATAACTGAACGAAAAGAACAGGCAGCACAAGTTTCAGACCCGATGAACAGGTAGACATAATATTACAAATTTGTTCCGAACATCTACTTAGTGTTGAGAAGGAACTATAGCGAAGGATCGTTTCTAGGTCGCTTTTGAATATCTCAAACAACGCTTGCAGAGTGGCATCGTGCTAAAGCCCTTTCAGTCGTGATTTGGATTCCAAAAAAAATTGGAAAAAGCATACCGAGAAAAAGTGATCTACATTTTCAGTTTTCATAATAAACTACCGTGTAACGCACCTCTGGTGCTTCAAACTTTTAAAACTCATAGAAAAACCGCATATATTGGAAATAAGATCTACATCTTTTGAGTGTACTCTGACAGCACCCAATTACAGGGTTGGTAATTTCAAAATTTGTGATGTTTTTTTTTAATCAAGTTTTTTATTCAAATTTTGAAAAAAAAAAGTTTTTATATCTAAGTTCTTTGAAAATCTTTAAAATGACAAATTAATGTCACATCTCGAGAACTGAAAGCAACTGAGCAGTCGCATTTGGACGCAAGATTTGCAGCTTCCAAGAGTACTCTCAGAGTACCCAACTACGGCGTTGGGAAAATCAAATTTTCAGAAACTTCAATTTAAGTTTTCGAATTTTTTTTGAATAAACCATAGAAAACGACATATATCGAAAACTACAAAAATTTGAGACGTCACATTTGGAGGCAAGATTCGTAATCCCTGAGACAGGGTGGCCACAGTGTCTGAGACATCGCAGGAACTGAAGCTCGCACTGATGAAATTAAATGCCAGGCACTGACATTTTTCGAAAACTCAGTCTTTTTTTTGGCTTTTTGACCCAATTTTTTTCATTGGCTCAACTTTTTTAACCCAATTTTTTTGACCTAACCAATTTTTTTTCTTCTCAAAGCTGCTCATATTACCTGAAAAAAAAACATGAAAATACTGTGCAAGCCTACTTCGATTTTTGATTTTAAACGATTCAGTAAGAAGAGTGATGAAAAAAAACTGGCACTGATATTCATATGCAGGCACTGCTATGGCACAGACAGATCACGCTTTGCACTGATTTGGCACTGAACGCACTGATACCGTGGCCACCCTGTGAGAGCAGTCTGACAGCCCCCAGCTACAGGATTAGGAATTTCAAATTTCGAAAAAAAAAATAAATTTAAGTTTTTTGAATTTTTTTTTGAAAAATCACAATGTCGAATTTCAAAGAAAAAAATAAACACACTGTAAGTTCTTCGGATTTCGAGAACAATTTATGATTGGTCTTTTTTTTGATAACTAACCGAACTTGAAAAAACTGGATCAATAGGTTAAGTTTTTTTTCCGCTGGAAATCTGAAAATTAAGATTCACTTTCGAAACTAGAAATCGTTCACGTTTTGTCGCGCCGCTTCCACGTTTGTATTTGTAGAGTGATGTTTACGTAACTTTCAGCAGATGGATTTCAATTGATTTCAAAAAGGGCATATATAACCTAAGTGCATTAAAAATGCAACAATAATATGAATGAATGCACATCTGTAGTTATCCGAGCATTTTAAGACTTTTTCCTGAAAAAAAAGAACAAAAAGAATTATCAAGACATATATAGTAGTCTTCACTACGTTCATTACTGTACTAACTAGATCAATAAATGATTTTGTATTTCCGTAAGAATTCAGAAACTTAAAAACAATGTTTTGAACTTAAGCTTATTCACCGTTTTTGTGACCTTCATACTTTTGCTGTTCGATAGTGGATTTAACGTTACTATTAACAGAGGAAATGAAATGGCTTTAAATTAAACGAAAGTCAAATTGCAAAAAAAAATCCTATTTGAACAGGAACAAATTTTCAGACCCTTCCTGAAAAAAAATAAAAACACTACGAAAAACGAATTTCGAATAGAATGAGAGGTTACAATCCAGACATTATCAAAAAATACGGTTTTTTTTAGGAAAGTAGAGATTTGGAGATGACAACCAATTTCCCCAAAGTCATCCCGTGAACATAATTTACTGTAAAAAAAAATAAAGTACCTAGTAGCAATGCAATGTAACCAAGTAAACCAAAAACTGAATGAGCCAAGGAATCAAAAACACTAGAGTGTAGGGCACCTCCGGTGCTTCGAATTTTCAACAACTCAAAAAATACTCCTTCAGTGTACTCTAACAGCACCCAATTACAGGGTTAATAAATAAAAATTTTGCCAAGTTTTTAATTCAAGTTTATACAAATTTTGAAAAACCATAAAACTTTGTGAAGTTTTATAAAAGTTCTTCGAAAAATTTAAAATGAACTAATAAGCGTCACATCTGGGAAACTGAAAGCATTTGAGCAGTCGCATTTGGACGCAAAATTTGCAACTCCTGGGAAAAACTTCAAATTTTGTAAAATTTTTCATTCGATTTTTTAATTCAAATTTTGAAAAACCATAAAAATTTGTGGTCTTTTTTTTATATCTAAGTTTATAATGAATTAAGAAACGTCACATCTAGGAAACTGAAAACAATTAAGTAGTTGCATTTGGACGCAAGATTTGCAACTCCTGAGAGTACCCTTACAGTACCCAACTACAACGTTGGGAAATTCAGACTTCACCTTAAGTTTTCTAAAAGAGGTATCTTTTTTTTTGAAAACCAGAAAAAATTCACATTTCGAAAACTGCCAAAATTTGAGCAGTCTGTTTTGATGGCAATATTCGCAACCTTTGAAAGTACACAACTACAGGGTTGGGAATTTCACATTAACGAATTATTTTGTAATTTGAGTTTTCTGAAAATTTCCAAAAAAAAATCACAAAAATCGTCTTATATGTCAAACAAAAAAGACTTCGGAATTTTCAATTGGAGACCAAATTTGCAACCCCTGAGATTACTCTGACAGCCCCCCAAACACAGGTTAGGAATTTCAAACTACGAAAAAAAATTAATTTTAATCATGAAAATTTTTTTGAAAAAATCACAAAAAACGTCATATCTGGAAAACTGCAAGATTTTGAGCAGTCCTATTCAGAAGCAAGATTCGCAACTCCCTGAGAGTACCCTCAAAGATTCCAATAACAGAACTGATATCTTCAAAGTTTCGGAACTTTTTAACATTTAAGTTTTTTTTGAAAATTTAGAAGAAAGTAATAAAAAACGTCATACCTCGAAAACTACAAAGATTTCAGCAGTCATATAGGGAACTCTTGAGAGTACCCTGACAGAGCCTCGTTACAGAGATGAGAATTTCAAGTTTTGCGAAATTTGTTATACCTAAGTTTTCTGAAAAATTTGAAAAAAAAAATCCTAAAAAAACGTCATATCTCGAAAACTACAAGAATTTGAGCAGCCATATTCAGAGGCAAGATTTGCAACCCCCTGAGATTACCCTCACAGATTCCAATAATAGGAGTTTTGGAAATTTTTCAAATTTTAAGTTATTTTGAAAATTTCGGAGAGAAGGAGAATTTGAGAAGTGAGAATTCGAGGCAAGATTTGCAACCCCTGATAGTACCCTGACAGCACCCAACTACAGGGCAAGAGTTTCAAAAATTTTTCAAAATTAAATTTTTTAAAAACCTCGAAAATTGCCTATCTCGTAAGCTAAAATGATTTGGTTATTCATATATGGAGGCCAAAATCGCAAAACCTGGGAAAACTCTTACAATATCCTACTATTGGGTTGCTAATTTCAAACTTGATGGAATAAAGACTGAATTTAAACTGGAAAATCGAAAAAAAACCTTAACAATTGCAATATACGATATAGCTTAAACGTGAAAAAATTCATTTGTTAAACATGCAAAAATAATACGTTGAAAAAGCTTAAACATGGCGAGATAAAGAAGCCCGCTTTTAAATATATAATAATAGATAATAGATAGATAATAGATGAAAGTTTAAAAAATAGGCGACGGGTATACAGACAGACAGACTTAATTTGGCCTCGAAAAAAATACTGAAAAATTAATGGCCTTGCGAAAAACTAATTGAAAAATTTTCTTAAGCATTGCAATATATGCTATAGCTTAAACATAAAAAAAAAAATTTCGTTCAACATGCAAAATTATTACGCTTAAACATGGGAGATAGGTGTCACTCGCATTTAAACATAGTATAGATAGATAGACGATTTTCCTCCATATCTTATGTTTTCGGAATAAATGCTTTTATACTGAGACAAAATCTATAAAAAACGTCATATCTCGAAAACTACAAGGATTTGAGAAGTGAGAATTCGAGGCAAGATTCGCAACCCCTGAGAGTATCCTGACAGCACCCTGAGAGTACCCTGACAACTACAGGGTGAGAATTTCAGATTTTAAAAAAATCATGATAATTTAAGTTTTCTGAAAAATTTTGAAAAAATCACAAAAAACGTCATATCTCGAAAACTACTAAGAATTGAGCAGTCATTTTTGGAGGCAAGATTCGCAATCTTTGAGAGTACTCTGACAGGACCCAACTACAGGGTTGGGAATATCAGATTTTGCGAGAAAAAAAATTAATCTAAGTTTTCTGCAAATTTTTTGAAAAAAATCACTAAAAACGTCATATCTCGAAAACTACGAGGATTTCAGCAGTCATATTTAGAGGCAAGACTCGCAATCCTTGATAGTACTCTGACAGTACCCAACTACAGGGTTGGGAACTTCAAGTTTTGTAAGTTTTCTTATTTGAAATTTCTGAAAATTTTTTGAAAAAATCTCAAAAATCGTCTTATCTCGTTAACTAAAATGATTCGGGCATTCAAAATTGGAGGCCAAATTCGCAACCACTAATTCGATATTGGGCTGCCTAATTTAATCTCGGTAAAATAACCACTAAAATAAAATTGGAAAATCGAAAAAAAAAAATTCTTAACCATTGCAATATACGATATAGATTAAACATGCAAAAATAATACGTTGAAAAAGCTTAAACATGGCGAGATAGTGAAGCCCGCATTTAAATATATGATAGATTATAAAAACCTATATAAGCCTTCACTGCGTTTACTAAAAAATAAAACTATTCTAACTGGATAATTCTAACAGAGGCAGAGCTTTGCATCGCAAACACTAGGGAGAACACGACAAAAAGCAGCTCTATAAAATGCAATAAAAAAGTAGAAATAAGCCCCCAATTAGTAACAATTCGTCTTGGTCTCGGATTCGATCTGCGAACTACTGCTAACTAGAGATTATGAGTCTCACGCACTCAGCTAGACACTCTTAATACACCATAAACTCTAGCCACAAATAGAGCAGAGAAAAGATGGTATGAAATTTCCAATGCTAGATCGTGAGTATAGCAAAGGAGCAACCAAATAAGTGAACACTTTCCACTTTCAAATAACACTTTTATTTGCGAGTTACGTTAGAAAAAAAGAAGGTTAGTACACTTAAACTAGTTGGTTTCCTACTAGCCAGTGTGAAATTTAGGTGTCGGTGCTTAGATTGCACACCGTTTTTTATAACAGGCTAGTCCTAGAAGTCATTATGGTAAAAACAACTTGTTACTTGCCAAAGCTACCTACCTGGCTGACTAAAGTATTCAACTATCTGCGTTCCGAAACGTTTAACCACGCATGAATATGAATGAGTTCAAAACTATCTTTATGAAAATGTATTGTCAAATCCGATCAAGATGAACAATTATTTCACTTAAATGTCATAATTCTCTCAGCTCAAAGATATCAATTCATTTAATAAACATACAGCATTTATTTTACACTTTATTCAAACGTGCGCAACATCAGCCCAGAAACTCAACAGCAGTTCCTTTATCAATACGATTTCGCTCTCAATGTATAATCAGGAACCTATTTTTTTCTTTTTTAGGTTGTGACGCATTCGTACTTATGCTGACTCATCAAGAACGATCTCTAATCCCCCATGCTGGCATCCGTTGGCCCTGCACTATGTTGTTCTTCCGGTGATTTTTTGCTTCCAGAAACAATGTCGTCAATGCGCAGCAGAAGAATGGCAGTCTGAAACCAAAATATAATCTTAATTCTCTAGCTTGCTTTTTCTGGATGTTAAGAGAAAAGCCAACAGAAAGGACCATCCTGGTCACAAAATGCCTAAATTTTAACAATTTAACGAAAACCATCAAATATTTTTAATCATTCCGTTAACTCAATCACAAATTGGCTTTTTGGATCTTTTTCTCCTCTAAGTTAGCGCAATAAAAAAACACAACTGCTGTTATTTAACAAACTTAGTCGCTTACCTCCACAGCCGTTTTGAGAACTTGACTTTTGACAGAGAAGGGTTCGAAAACCTTCAGGACCTTCATATCACTGATCTCCCCATTCTCCCCGTTGACCCCGAAGCTGAAGTTGCCCTCCGCGTGTTTTGCTCTGATTTGGGTCAGAGTTCTAATAGTGTTGCCACCGCAGTTCTGAATGAGGGTTCGTGGAATGACCTCCAGAGCTTTAGCCACTGCTCTATAAGGCCACTGGCTAACGTCCTGGATGCTCTTTGCCTTTTCATTGAGGCCCTTAAAATAAACATTCATTTTGAACGACTATTCTCCACGCATATCGATTTTTTTCTGAAACAAGTCTCTTTTGGACAAAAATATATATTTGGACTTACATTTTTGAGTCATCCACTTGCAGAAATCAATTTTTACACTAGTAAATCGACAATTTTTCAACTTATCATGGAAAAATTCAATCGGTTTCTGAAAAGCAGCGGGTAGAAAAATAATTCTCAAACACCATTTAAAGCCTATACCAAATACTGGCTAATCATATGAATAGTTCTTCCGATTGTACACAACCAATCTCACAGTTTTACTCACATGGGCAACTGCCACTTCGATGGCTCCGCCTCCCGGTACCATTCTGGGGTCGACAAGAATGTTCCTAGTTACTTGCATCGTGTCCTGCAGATTGCGCTCCACCTCGTTCAGAATATCCTTGCTGGCTCCTCTCAGCAGAATAGTACATGCTTTAGGGTCCTTGCACTTGGTGATGTAGGTGAAGTACCTGTAATTTGCCATTTCGAGTCACTCAAGAACCATACTGAGCACAGAAACCGAAGATTTAAGCTAAGATATTTCAAGAAAATTGCTTCAAAACTGCACGGCAAATTAAAAGTCAGTAAAGTAACACAGCGCGAACATTATCAAGCGGCAGTTAAAATCGTTTCAGAAATTGATAGTTTTCGAGATAAATCAAGCACTCTGGTTTTCTATTACAATTATTACTCACTCGTCTCCTATGAGTTTGACTTCGAATAACCCTGCTCCAGTTCCCACGTCCGATTCCTGCAGATCGTCAAGCCTATTCACAATCGTAGCTCCGGCAGCCCTCGAGATTCGCATGTTGTCGGTCTTTCGGAGTCTGCGGATGGCAGAGATGTTCGCCTTCTGCAGGAAGTGGATTGCCAAATCACTGATTCCCTTCTCGGACACCACCAAGTCCGGCTTCATAGCGATAATTCTATCGCAAAGGTCTTTCACGTGTTCCTCTTCCTTCTGCAAGTAGCTCCTAAAATTATGCTCATTACAGAAAACTAGAGTTAAAGGTGCTGAATACTTTCCCATTCACTAAATCAACCGCCAGTTTTTTCAAAGAAAATTGCATTTTTCAATGCTAAAATACAAGAAACATAGCCAACATACAATAAAAAAAAGAGTAAATCAACGCAAGAAAACAAAAAAAAACAGACTTAAACAAGACACTTGAAAAATTCCAGCTTTCGAATTTCAAGTAAAAAATATATAACCTCAAATGTCTTTAAAAATCAAGAACAATTTATGATTGACACTTTCCGCTGAGTAACCAAAAAACTAAAATATACTTAATTAGAAGTCGACCACGTTTTCGTGACCTGTATACTTTCGCTGTTCAATAGTGGAGTTTGCCTTCCTTTTAACAAAAAAAATCTGAACGTAACAAAAAATCGGACGTCCGACCGCGAAAAATTGAATTTAAGCGGAACAAATTTCAGGACTTTTTCTGGACCTATATAAAAGTCATCACTACGTTTATCGACTCTTAAAAAGGATTCCACTCACTCATTACCAATAAGCAGTTGCCTTGAAGATTAAAAAAATAGGAGCAAAACTGACTCGAAATCAGCGGAAGACTGCATCTCGATGTTTGTTTGGGACTCTCCTTTGGAATATTCCAGGCCAGAGTCCAGTAAAAGAATCCTAGGGTTCTCGATTCTTCGTCTCATCTTGGAGTGCAGAATGTCCTTGTTGAACATGACGCCATCCAGTACTTCTGAATCCTCGATAGCTCCTCCAGGAATCTTAATCAAATTTCAAACTCTCCGCAAAATACAAAAGGCTATCCATTAAAATCTTTATTGAAGGATCATTCAAGCAGCATTTAATCATGGTTTTCAAAAATACCTTTTCAACTTTGGCGTATCGTTTAATATCGATCTCTTTCTTGCCACCTTTCTCCTCTAGAATGACTGTCTTCACTGCTCTGAGGGCTATGTTGGTGATCAGATCGGACCAGTTAGCGGTCACTTTGGTCGCCAGCGCATTCCTGATAAACTCCAGCATAGCTTTATCATCGTTCACATCAACCGCAACACTAAAATTAAATTCAATTTTTGGTTTTACGACAAATTACAAACATAGCCAGCAATTGGTAGGAAGTGTAAAAGAACAAAGAGATCAAAAAAAGTTTATCGAGATTTTCTGAGCGTTTTTCACATGATTGGCACTTCTTTCTTAACCTTGTCAAGGTTAAGAAAAACGTGAATGACTTCTAGTTTCAGAAATGGGCTCTTTTCCAGTCCTTTATCTTGGTTTTCTGAAATTCAATTTACGAAAAACAATTAAAAATGACTTTTATACCATTTAGAAAAAGTAATACCATTTAGAAGAAACTGGATCGATCAATCAGATAGAAAAATTTTGTTTTTCATGTACGGACTGTTGTAGAAACGTTAAGAACATTAAAAGTCATTTTTAATTGTTTTTCGTAATTTGAATTTCAGAAAACCAAGATAAAGGACTGGAAAAGAGCCCATTTCTGAAACTAGAAGTCATTCACGTTTTTCTTAACCTTGACACTTTTGCTGTTCGATAAACAAATGAAGATTTTAAAAAGAAATCCAGAATCGAAATTGAGCGTGACTTCCCAGAAACAAATCATCACGAACTACATCAATATAGTTCGTGATGATTTTGATTATTAGGCCTACAATGAACTTCGTTCTTGTAAACGTATTCCCATTATGTTCATATCACCATATATTACATACCTGTGCTTTTCCATGATAGCGACGGCATCCTCTAAAGCATTACGATACGCTCCAATTATTACTGTGGGATGCATCTGCTGGTGTAAAAACTGCTCAGCAACGCCACAGAACTCTCCGGCTAAAATAAAAATTAATTTTAATAGTTTTTTTTACATAAATTGCATTTTCCAAAACTTTAGCCAGGAGACTGATTCACGATGCAAACAAAAATTAAGAAGCAACAAAGATAGCCGGGAGCACAGAATGTCCCGACCAAGTAAATCAAATCAAGGACATAGCCGTCAGACAGTTGTAAAACAATCAATGAACGCAAGTAAACAGAAAGAATTATTTTCGAGTTGCAAAGACAAAATAGATGGCCTTAAAGCTCTTTGAATTACTAGAACAATTTATGGTTAACACTTTTTTTGAAAAAAAAAAATTAACCCGAATTATCCTAATGGTTGTGATAAACTTATCAAATAGTTTCAGGGCTGAGCCAGCGAGGCATGGTGTGATTCGAGTGATGCTCTCTTGATGGTCTGGATTATTGGAGCCAGCTCATTATTCCATGCTCTTGGGGAAAAGATCACTTATTCAGACGAAGGAAACGGCGAAAAAGGATTGCGAAAAAGGAGCTAATTTGCATCCACGCTCAAAAGATACGACCGAGGTGTACGAAATTCTAAAAAGGTATAGATCGTGATCAATCAGTAATCATCTGGCACGACGCAGTTAATAATACAATTTCTTATCATCCCTGAGAGCCACGTGAACCACTATCCGGAGAAGAACTAGTGACCGAGGTTAAAGCTTTACACCAGATTTCTAGCATAATTATTGTGAAAGAGAAAGGGCACCTGACATATACGCTGAGTTAAAGACCCTTGATATTCCTGTGGTGCATATATTGAAGGACGTGATCTCAAATTATAAAACAGATTTCAGAACTTATTGCGAAGTAAAGAGCTCTTCATCAAGAACCTTACCTAGAAGTCAAAACACTGGACATTGTGAGAAAATATCTGAGTGAACTAAAGCAATTAATTGAAAAAACAAAAAAAAACAGGCCTTCACAAAAGCAGCGAATAGTAGGTCAAAAACGAAAACTCGAGGAAACTTCCAACTAATTATTTTTCTGTTTCTTCTTCCCTGATTGTGTGACAGAACTGAACTAAATTGCCCAGATTTGGAGCATAAACCGATTAGATTGCCTTCAGATTCTCATATATTTTTTCTTTCTTATTTGTATCATTATACAGATAAAATTTGACTATAAATAGACGAACAAATAGACTATAAAAAAATGGAAAATCATGGTGAAACTGCTACTGCCCGACAAATTGAATTACCCACATTGCGTTTTCACAACGAAACACCATCAACTCCTGTCAATGAGAACTCAAGCAAAAAACGACCGTGCTGTTTTGAGCCTACTCCAAGAAAGGAAGAACAAATAACAGTAGGAGTCATAGAGGAGAACACAAAACGGGCTGTCAATGAGATGATTCCAGTTATTGTCGATGCCTTGACGACTGAACTGAACTAAATGCTATGACGAAATAAGCAGTACAAAATTCTAGGTCTGAAAATGTGCAAACACAATAAGCGCAGAAGTTTCCCCAGACAGATTTGTCAATAGCGCACCGGCTTTCATCTAAAGGAAATGGACCCAAGCCTATAATTGCTCGATTCTCCAGAAAAATGGCCAAAATAAATATCCTCAAGAAAAAGAAAATTATGGCTCAAAATGAAACTCTAAGAAACGTGCGATTATTCAAAGACTTGCCAATTCCGAGGTTGAGCTTCTTCCACATGATGAAAAAAGATGACGAATTGCAGACATTTGAACACGAGATGCAGTTATAAATTACATTTGGAAAACTCATGAATTAATATACAAGAACCCAAAACTATTCAGAACCCGAAACAATTCGAATAAAAAACGAACAAGTCAAAAAGCCGCAGTGCCTTTAAGAGACACGAGATAGAAATCCCAGAACTTAAACTTATCGCGGAGAGGTATATAACGGAAAGACCAGAAGATCTGAATCAATCAAACTCATAATCAAACCAATTATTTTCCCGGTTTGCGCAAATTTGTTCAACATAAAAACTGCTCAACATACTTGCAAATTGATATCGCTGGATCTCTGCATTCGCCCGTCTGGAACTTTGTTCTTACGGTAACTGATGTGTACTCAAAATAAGGATTTTTATCACCATTGCCGATAGACATCGGGGAGATTCGTGTATGCGAGCTCAAACAACTCCTTCGCGCATATTTAAATGTCAAAAGACTTTATATTTTGACAGCTCAACTAGATATTCAGATAAACTAGCGTGTAACGCACGCTCTGGTGCTTCGAATTTTAACAACTCAAAAAACCCGAAATTGTCGGAAACAACATCTGCATCCTTTGAGTGTACTCTGAAACAGGGGCGGATTTAGGGGGGGGGACGCACCCCCCCCCCCCCCCTCAGGGATTCGACCCCCTGCCGACCCAAAGGGTCCCCCCTTTGATACTTTTTCAGAAATCCATTTTTGGCCGACCGACCCTAAAATTTTTCTAAAGGCGCCCTTGGCGCCAATATATACTAACTTTGAGGGGGAGCGCGCGCCAAAAAAAAACGGGGGAGCGCGCGCCAAAAAGATTTTTTTTGTCAAAATTTTTCAAAAAGTGCCCAAAAACGGTTTTTTTGACCTAAAAAAAGGTCGTCAAAATTTTTTGAAAATCCGCCCCCCCCCCCCTCGAAAAAATCCTAGATCCGCCCCTGCTGACAGCACCGATTTACAGGGTTGGTAATTTCAAAATTTTTTTAAATTCAAAATTTGAAAAACCATAAAATCTTGAAAATTTTTTTTATATCTAAGTTTATAAAAAACAAAGAAACGTCACATCTCGAAAGCTAAAAGCAATTGAGCAGTAGCATTTGAAATTTTAGTATCTAAGTTTTCTTAAAAATTTTGAAAAAAATCCATAAAAACATCATGTCTCGAAAATCATAAGGATTTGAGCAGTCATATTGGAAAGCAAAATTCGCAACTCCTGGGAGTATCCTGACAGAGCCTCTCTACAGAGATGATAATTTCATATTTTTCGAAATTTTTCATACCTAAGTTTTCTGAAAAAATTTGAAAAAAAATCCTTAAAAAACGTCATATCTCGAAAAATACAAGAAATTGAGCAGCCATAATCAGAGGCAAGATTTGCAACCCTATGAGAGTACCCTCACAGATTCCAGTTAGAGGAATGAGATCTTCAAATTTTGGAATTTTTTAACATTTAAGCTTTTTTGAAATTTTCGGAGAAAATCATAAAAAACGTCATATCTCGAAAACTACAAAGATTTGAGCAGTCATATTTGGCGGTGAAATTCGCAACTCCTGAGAGTACCCTGACAGAGGCTCACTACAGAGATGGTAATTTCAAGTTTTTAGTTATGGTAATTTTTGAAAGTTTTGAAAAAATCCATAAAAACATCATATCTCGAAAACTACAAGGATTTGAGCAGCCATAATCAGAAGCAAGATTCGCAACCCCTGGAGTACCATCACAATCTCCAGCTACAGGATTGAGATTTTCAACGTTTTGGAGTTTTTTAAAATCTAAGTTTTAGAAAATAATCATAAAAACGTCATATCTCGAAAACTACAAAGATTTGAGAAGTGAGAATTGGAGGCAAGATTCGCAACTCCTGAGAGTACCCTTACAGCTCCCAACTACAGGGTGAGAATTTCAAAAATTGAGAAATTTTTTAATATTAAATTTTCTAGAAATTTTTGAAAATTCTCGAAAATTGCCTATCTCGTAAATTAAAAGGATTTGGTTATTCTATGGAGACCAGAATCCCAAAAGCTGGGAAACTGCTTACAATGTCCTACTATTGGGTTGCTAATTTCAAGCTTGATGAAATAAACACTGAATTTCAACTGGAAAATTGAAAAAAAAACCTTAACCATTGCAATATAAGATATAGCTTAAACGTGAAAAAATTCTTTCGTTAAACATGCAAAATAATATGTTGAAAAAGCTTAAACATGGCGAGATAGTGAAGCCCGCATTTAAATATATAAGAGAAAAGATCAAAGTTAAAAAATTAGGCGACGGGTAGACAGACATGATCAAATTAATTTAAAAAGCAGGTATACAGACAGACTTAATTTGGCCTCGAAAAAAAAGTGAAAAATAAATGACCTTGAGGAAAATTAATTGAAAATTTTTCTTAAGCATTGCAATACATGAGAAAGCTTGAACAAGAAAACATGCTTTCGTTAAACATCCAAAATTATTATGCTTAAACATGGGAGATACCTGTCACTCGCATTTAAATATAGATCATGCGGCGCTCAAACTACTTGTCTGATAGAACGATTTCATGAACCTCAAAAGGATGCTAAAATGAAACTTCGATAAAAAAATGGTCAGGCAGGCATAAAAAGGTACCATGAAAACATTTATTCGCAACAAATCAACCTGTTCGTCCTCTGGATGTAGCCCGAACTCTATTGTCTACTGAAAATAACCATAAAAAAAAACCTCTATCTTCGTTTCTTGACAAAAGGAATAAACGCAGTCAATTTTGCATCAGATTTTTTGCATCAATGCAAGATGCAATGCTGTAAAAAAAAATTGGAAAAAAACGAATAAAAGATACCGAAAAAACTCCGCTCGGGTTGCATTTGAGAAGATACTCAAACTTCCTTAGTTCTCTATTACTAAATCTTGTGCTGTCTATTCTATCGTACTTTGGAAGCAACTTGATGCTAATTTGCTCCGACAAGTTCCGCTATTAAACTTATTAAATAGTTTGCTTTCAGGTTAATGTTTCTCCGGAGTAGCCGTGGTTGCTCCGTGTAAATGTATAGACGTTCTCATCAATTCAGAACGTCTTCATCTAGAAACCTGCTGATTGCAGACTCTCAAGTAAGGAATCTAATTTTTCCGAATTTCAACATTTTGTCTCTACCTGGAGCTCGGATTGGCAGTGTGATCGACGCAACGTACCATCTTCTGTCTCCGAACAGGACATAGCCAACGAGATTTCAAAATTAGCAGACGAATTATCCCTACGCGCCCCAAAAATCTTTATCCTTGGCATTAAGTTTACATATCTGATCCCAGCCTCAGAGTAGAA